CAAGGAACACCCTCAAACATCACTTGTTTAGGGAATAAAACATGGAAATTGAATCCTAGTCTACTCTGTGGGAGGGGGCGCCACACAGATGACACATACCCAAGTGTGACACAATGCAATTGGCAAGCTATCAGAAATTCAAGCAAATTGTACACAGGTAATAAACAGAGGGGTGGAGTGCTGGATATTTGACTTCTGATTCTGGAAAAGTCTCTGTGTTTCTTGGGAAGATCTTGTGTTTTGAACCTGCTAAGTGACAGGATGGGTAATGCAGCCGATGAACTGAACTGGTAGCAGCAGGGGACTGTCATTGACACACTCAATGGGTACTGACAACAGAGGCCTTTGGGGAAATATTGACTATGAAGAACTTTTAGCAAGTGCCCTCTTCCCATATATCTGGGGACATTACTGTACTATTTGTGACATAATCCATATGTATCATTCAGTTTCTACTATATTAATCTTTTTTCTATATTAATCTTTTATGTTCACCTGATCATCAGATAGTAATACTGTGAAAACTGTAAAACAATTCCTACACACACACACAAAAAAAAGTCCCTGTTTTAAAGGAGAGGATTCTAAGCACATGTTTCAAACCCCTTGTCTCTGACTCAAGTTAAACTCTTGACTCTATAAAAAACTTTAGAGAGGCCTTGAGTATCCTATTAAACCCAGAAGTGGCCTTCCTGAGAGCAATGCATCTCCTTATACACAGGGCTTGGTGGGTGTTCACTCCTTAGATGAGAAGACTCTGGACTCCCACCATCCATCACAAAGCCCTCCGGCTCTCTGAGCCTGGTAGGAGGCAGACTCAGGAACACTGTCCCTTTGTGAATAATTTGTGCTTAGCAATGTAGGTGGCTGGTTCTTTTGTCTCAGCAAAAGGGCACTGGCCAACAAGCCTGGAAAAAGAAGCTGGAAGGACAATGTTCTTTCTGCATAAACTCATGACACCATTCTAATTAAACTTATTTACTAAGGACAGGAGTGCACATGCGCCTTCTGGCTGGTGAGGGTTGATATCAGGTTCTGAGAAGCACCAAGCCTACTGGGTTCTGAAATCTGAACTGCATTTAAAACTAGACTGAACCTTTGTTTGCTTTAAATACAGGGCTGGTGTTCGATCACTTCTAAAGTGTTCTGATTTACAATGTAAAAATAAGGTGCTTTGAAAGCAACCAAATGGAACCACATTTAATTTGGAATATTTGCATGGGCACCTGGCACTGCAGTGACTCCAGGCAGTGAAGCAGCAACTGGAACCCAAGTCACTGGAGCTTGAAAGGAACTGATGCCAACAATGGGCCAGGAAGTCTGGAAAACAAACTGTCATGCAGTCCTAAAATACAAGTGCTCTGCTGGCTGTGGGTGGAGCCATGACCCCGGGATTGCTTGTTTTATTGCTCATATGTTAATTCTCATTATATGTGCTGGGACCAAATTTTCAACTAGGTATATACTACTTTTTCCTATTTTAAAATCTATTTTAATAACAATTTCCAACACTTTGCTACATTTCTGTAGGCAAATAAAAATACTTTAATAAGTTGACAATTTCTGTTTTGTTCTCTATGATGCCTAACATAGACAGGGAGAGCTGAAAAACTGCTGAAGAAAAAGTAAACAGTGGAGACTGCCAGATGTGTACACACTGGATACCATAATTAGCCAGCAGCATTGCTATCATGTTTGATGACAGTTTTGCAGAGATTTCTTATGGTTCCTGGAATTTTATGATGGAAAGTTACAAGTTGCCAGAACTTTATCCCTTCCTCCTCTGAGAAGTTCACCGAGTTCAGTAGGCAGCAGAGTCACCTGACCAGTTCTGGGACAGAGCCTAACATCTGTACTGTTGGTGAGATTCTCACAGTCACCTGACCAGCTCTGGGACAGAGCCCAGGGGCTGTACTGCTGATGAGATTCCGATTCACAATCAGGCGTTCCGCAGACCAGGCACATATTAAAGAGTTCTATCTTGACGCATAGTGTCTGTGGAGTTAAGCTGCTCCTGATGACATTCAGTCATACAGGACTTGGATAAGCATGTAGAGTGCCATGGCCTAAAAGATGCTCTAGACTATGGAAGACAAACTCTAAGTTCTTCAGTTGACTGAGTTAAAGACAAAAAATAAAGGTCACAGCAATCTGAGCCTCCTTTTGGACCACCCTCAGCAATGTGTGGTTTCATTGTAATATATTTAATTGCAGAGAAATAATAATGTGGGAACGTACAGAGGTTTTCAAAATGCATTCTTGTTTTTTTCTTCTATCTTATAGCTGGGTTTTAGGAAATGCTTGTGAAAGTATTTTCAGAGATGGAAATATTAATTTTATATATTAGATATTAAGGCTAATGTGTAAGAAAGATAAATGTACAAGTGACCTAAATAAACTATTTCTTCCTCTCCCTGCACCCCAGAGAAAGAGAGAGAGAGAGAGAGAGAGAGAGAGAGAGAGAGAGAGAGAGAGAGAGAGAGGAAAGCCCAATGTGGTCTGGCTGAGGGCTATGGCAGCACTGTAAAGCTAATTATGCATGGCTGTTTTAATAATTTAGGGTAACTTAAAGTATTACTACTGTCAACAGTTTTCTAATTAACTGTGCTTTCCTTTGTTATTTTTTCCTAATGTTTGTGAAACCAAGGATTGTGTATACTTATATTTCCTTAATACTTTCCATAGTGTTAAAATAAGACGAGCATCTGTGTTTCACTTAAAAGTCATTTCACACATTAAGCTTACCCACCTGTCCAACTTTGTGAACCATTACAAAAGATGGTAGTTCTTACCCTCAAGTGATTTACATTTCACCTAGGCTAACCAGGTGCTCCTGGAAGAAATAAGGAAGAGAGGCCACTAGACCTTCAGCTGCTGGCGAAAGCAGATGTTTTCAGAGAGCTAATTTGAAGAAGTAACCTTACCTTATTTGTACACATTGCTCCAGGGCTATTTCTGTCAACCAACCTTACATATCAAAACAAAATTACAGCCATCTTGAAGATAGAAATTAGGGAATGACTACAGGGTAGCATTTCTGTATCATTGAATGCTACTGTATCAATCAAAACTTTTTAGTAAGATTTCCTTTAGTGGTATGGGGAAATATTTGTAATCTAATGATGGGCATGTAAAACAAGATACAGTGTGGTCTCAGCTATGTAAAATGGAATCTGTTTAAGGTAATAAATAAGCTACAATTAAACTGCATTTTTTCCTCAATGTGTGATCAATATACATACTTTAAATGTCAGCTTTTTTTCCAGCTTTTTTTTATTTGAATTAGAAACAGGATTGTTTTACATGACAATCCATTTCCCTTCTCCCACCCGTCCTCCCCTACCCGCCCCCCCCCAAACTAAAACCTGATCTGTCACATATCTTTTCTGCTCCCCCTGGATGGTGAGGCCTTCCATAGGATGTCATCAGAGTCTTTCATACAGCCACTTTGGAAATCAGTATGGCAATGGGAATCAGTCTACCACAAGATCCAGCAATTCCACTCTTAGGCATATACCCAAAAGAAATCTCAGCTTTTATAATTCTATAAATGCAACAAAACATGTAAACTATTTAACAAGATAGTAGCATAAAATACTTGGTGCACATTTTCCTTGGAGTGCTTTGCTAATCTCGAGTCACCTCACTGGTTGATCTATTGCAGGCCTTGTTCCACTGCTCTTGGTGCCACGGTTCAGGACACCATCATCTCCACTGTGAAGGATCACTTCTTTGCCTCTATTTATGCCCTTCATCAATGCGTTCCTCAAATAACAGTCAGATCAACAGCGTTATTACTGCTGTATTCACCATCTTTCCACGGCTTCTCACCTTATTTGGGAGGAAAGGCTAAGTCTCATAATGGCCTGTGAAACACCATGTGTTCTGGGCCCCATGAGTCCCTGATCTCACTTTTTCACCCTCTACTTTGTTCCTCTGCACCAGCCATTCCAATATTGTCAAGTATGCACCTGTTTCAGAGGTAGGGATGCTCACAGTCATTTTTCTTCCAGTCCTGAGTCTTCACTAAGGTCTTCCTTGAATACTTTTTTGAATTAGAGACTCCCTGCCTGTCTACCTTCAGATTCTTCACTTGCTTTCCTGCTTTACTCAAATGTCCTATTTATTTTAGCATTTATGTTCATATTGACTGAACTTTCTGTCGTCCCTTGAAAGTAGGGTTTTGTTTGGTCCATTTCTGAATGCTCAGTGCTTATTACAGCCCTTCCACAGTGAGTACCCAGCAACTGTCTGAGCAACAAACAAGGAGACTTCTCCCTTTAAAATGGCCTTTCATGTTCTCTTTTCACATTTTTATCCTCTAGGGGTGACTTCTGACCACTTCTGTGCCCCTTGGCTTTGCTACACTGACTGACAATATTGGCATTTCTCATGTGGCTTCCATTCTCCTCTCAGCATCTGTATGACTTAGTCCATGTTTTGGGAACCCTTTGAGTCTACTACTTTGTCTTTGTCAGGATCTGCCCTGGCTCAGACAGGTTCAGCTCTCAGCTTTCTAGTTCTTAAACTTCACAAAGCAATAGAAGATGCTATTTATTGGGTGTAGGAAATTAGGTAAGGATAGTGGTCATATCTTACATAATCTCATGTCAAAAAAAATGAAATATTTCAGAAATGGTAATGCAGAAAGAGAGAGCTAAGGACTGAATACATGATTTCTGGCTTTAGTGCAAATTCTGAGTGTGTTAATATCATCCATGAGCTTTATCTCCCTAACTTAGTCTTCATAAATGTTTCAGTTATTAAAACTGGAGGATAATTTTAAATGGAATCAGACAACTGTAATTGAAATATGAGTGGCTACTCTATGACAGGGTATGGCTTAGCAGTCTTTAGGAATATACTTTATTTTCTTATCTAGGATCTTACCTAGTGATTCACGGTGCTGATCTTGTTGGTCATAGGTCATGTCTAGAAAGGTCTGAATGGCACATTCTATCAGTGACTGGAGCAGACTAACATATCATATATATGATTACCTGGTTATGAATGTCCTCTCATTGACAAAGATCCAAGAAGGGTACTGGTGATCCATCATTGTTATCCTTCCCCCCTTTCCAAGATGATCTGAGGATGCCCTAAAACATTAGAAAAGTATGAATGTGTTGTTGCTGGGAGACATACCCAAGTGACTTTATTATTTAAATTGAGTATTTGCTTTCGTCTCTAATGCATATGAGAAGCTTTTAAGTCTATACAACGGATCACAGTACTTCTCCTGCAGTCACCTCACCCAAAGTGGCTGGACCCCAAATCAGGACAAGATTCCAGGCACTGAAGTCAAGTCCTGGCTTGAGAGCTGACTAAGGATGATGTAATAGCCTCCAACTATCCTGCAGGCCTAGGAGTCTGAGATCGGATACCAAGGATCGCCTCTATTACAAGTTCACATCAATGGCATCAGGGTGTGGTCACAAATACTAAGAGTATTTTCTGCTTGGTCCATTTTGTATAAACACACACACACACACGTAATTATCATTTTGAGCCTGGAAAAATCACAGGCACTATAATCAGAATCAAAAGGCGGGCTGGAAAGAAAAGCTCAGTTCCTTAATAAAAAGGACCTGTATGGGATTCTCTTTACTTTCATAGTAGTTTGTTTGGGTGTGGCAAGAAGAGTGGAAGAAATTATATATACTAATTTCCTGGGCTACAAGGAGGGAAAGAAGAAAGGAGGAAGAGGAGAAGAAGAAAGAAGGAAGGAGGAAGAAAGAGAAGGAAAGAAGGAACAGGAGAAGAGGGAGAAGGAAGAGGAGAAGGAGAAGCAGAAGGAGGAAGAAGAAGGGATGGTTAAATAGTTATTCTACTAGTCTCATAAAATCCTGCTGCATCCTTTTCCTTTGAGGACTTTGCTGATCTCAGCAGGCATCTTGTATCTGACTCTGACTCTGAGCTCAGTATTTAACTGTGGTCTTTTTCTTTGTTTGTTTGTTTGTTTGTTTCATGCTTCTACCACTGTGACCATCACAATTCTTACTTGGTGCCAACCTTCCTGGATTTCATTCTTAGTACACATAGCCTAAGTCTCCTAATCTTTACATTTTCTTTATTTGTTCTCAAACCCATCTTTACACACTCAGCTCTGAAGCATTTCTTCAATGACAGACCTCGGGTAATGAAATTTCACACCATCATGTCTCTCCTTCAGCTGATCACAAGGGGATCTCGACCACTGGCCCAGATGTGTCCCACTCCTATGGGCCCCTTTCCAGTCTCCCCATGCTGCTTTATCAGCACCACTCTGTTTGTGTATTTCTGCTTCCTATATTGTCATTACTGATTTATGTCTTACTTCCTTTTCTATTGCCCTGGTTCAAATCATAACAATGTCTTTTTGATAGTACATCATTGCCCAAGGTCTGTGTCATGGATGACTCATGCTAGAAGGGACAAAATCCTAGCTACAATCCTCTCCATGCCAGGCTTCCTTACAGCAAAGACATAGTTTGCCCCTGAGCCTAACAAACTACAATCACCCATTCCCAAGATTGATAGATCTGGATGTCTGGTTACACAGATCTTGCTCCAGCATCTAAACCCTGAGTTTTACTTTTATATTTTCTCATTCTTAGAACCTACAAAAATGCATTGTAGATATCCCACATCAAGATCCTTCAGTGATGATGATGTGGTTCAAACACTACCTTTTCTTGGATCCATTTATGGGCTATTTACCATCTATTTAATTTGCCCTGTCCTGTGCCTCTCCGCCCACATTTAAATCATCAATACTTTGCCAAATTGTCCATTTTTGTCTGTCTGGAAGAAGCATTAGACAAGACTGAGTTTTCTTTCCCTGTGTGATACACTTTCTTCTTAGGCTTTTGAGGCTGAGCAACAACGACTTTCCTTATTTTCTTGCCACCTCACAGATCTCAGTGTCTTAGTCTGTTCTGTTCACTGTTTTATGTCTCTTTAAATACTGGCTGGTTGGAGAGTCTATTCCATCTTCACTTCTCTAGCTCTATTTCCAAGCAAATGAATCTGTTAATCTACTTGGCAACAGCTCAGTTCCAAACTCCTGTTACCACCTAGTTTCTATTAGGATGTCTAACAGTCTTACAAGCAATGGGGTTAAGAGCAGCATTGACTTCTCTCAGCTCCAGTATTTCCTCCTCCACAATTCTTTCCTACACATCCAATCAGGCAACAAACTCAGTCTCAGTCCTAACCACTCCCCCCATCATAAGCAGACTTGAATCCACAGGTCAGGACTCTTGGACTGTATTTCCAATATACAACCTGAATTAAGGATCTAGAGAGCTGTCTTACCCAGTCTTACAACGTGGGGACCCAGAAGTCACCATAGATGGCAACTTCGCTGCCATCAAATGCTGAGGAACTTTGGAAGTAAAGAGTATCATGGAAGTGCTGTGCGGCTGAGTGACTGAGAAGTGATAGGCTGAAGAATTGTTGGAGTAGCTTTCCTATCAGTTCCATCTTTTTGTAGGCATAGAAAAAATATAAATTATCCTTATTTTAGAGGGCAAACATCACCGTTCAAGTGTACTGTCAGACGGTGTGATCTGTGTTAGAGTACATCAAAGGTAAGCTCCTAAGACTCTGGAAGATATAATCTTAGGAAAGAAGGCAGTTGAATAGAATTTAACGGACAAGAATTAAAAAAGACTGTGTTCATAGGTAGTGTACAATAGTTGAATAAAAATAATATTGAACACAAATGATCCCAAAACTGCCTAAAATGTTCAGAGAATTCCAATAACTAAAAAGTAAGAGAACGATTTGATAAAAATCTCAGAGGTTTTGTTTACTCAGAGCAAAGGGTGGATCTACAAATTCGAATAGTTTCTCCTTTCCCTTTTCCTAGTCCTGTTTGCTGTGACTCAGCAAATCAAACCCTATGGAGTTCTAAGGAAAATCTTCTAAATTAGTAAGACTTGATGGGTGTAAGGTCTGAATTGGTTATCACAAAAGCTCAGGAAGAAAGTAATAGAGTCAGTCAGAAGCGGCAGAGATAAGGAGGATGGAAGAAAACTGGAAGGACTGCAAGTCCAGAACTTTCTGAGGTCATACTTTGGGCATTCGGTTCTTTGGAGGAACACAATGCACTACAACTTGAGAAGGAAGATGGTTGCTATAAACATGCACTTTGCTTGGACAGTGAATCATAATCACTACTAGGCCCTGGGGCAAGAATTGTGATTGACTTAGGTTATATGTAAAATGAGAACACTGGTTTAATAAGTTTGGTTATTTACTTTTCCATCTTGACCCATAGGATGGATTTCCAGAGAAAGAAGATTTGACAGGGCAATCAAGTCTTAGAAAGCCCTGGAGACAACAGGCAGGTTTAATTAAGGGGAGCCTGAATGGAAGAAGCCCAGGGAAACACAATCATTCTTAGCTGGCAGATGGTCTGGAGCCTTTAGAGATGGTGACAGACAGCCCCAGCGTGTGGGTTGCTCTGGGACTTGAGAAAAGAAAGAAGAGGCCTTTGGGGTTCACTTCCCCCAGCTCTGTATTCCTGCTTAGATGTGGGCATGCCTGGATCTGCCAGTTACCAGAATGAGGAAGGTGGGGAGAGGAGGAAGGGAATTCAAGTCCCACACAAATAGACTAATTATTTAAAATACCTTTCAGTGCCCAACCATGGGTGACTTCAATGGTTACTTATTTAAGAGTGGAAAATTTGGTTCACTCCTTTGAATAGCCAACCAAGCATTTCTTGAGTGTCTTCCTTGAACCTGCTACCATGCAGGGTATAGAAATATAGCCTAGATCTGAATGTAGAGCCAGTGGACCAGGTTCTTTTAAAAAGCCAAATAGAAACCTAAACAAAACAACATCGCTAACTCCACAGCACTTTGCTGGCTTCTGAACTTTTATAATAAATTATTCACAGCTTGCTAATGACTTAACCGCTCTCTTTTCCTTATTTTTTCCTTAAATTAACTACTAGATTCTTCACAACAGGATTATGACTACTTCATTATTCATCATTTAGAGTGTGTATATAAAGTACACACATAAAAATTAATAAAATATTAGAGCCACTCAACAACCTATATAAAAGTAATAATAACTAAAATTAAGTGCTTTAAGAGGACGAGTGATTTTCCTTTGGATTTCACATGTACATTTAAAAAACATATGTAGGAAACTTACCTTGCATTACACACATAGCCACAATAAAAGTAACTAAGAAACAAAAGTAACCCCAGAAATATCACGAGTATATGATTTAATTATGAGGTAAGGTTATTTCAAGAACTATAAACATGGTATTATTTTTCAGAGAAAATTGTTCTAGCATGGAGAAGCAATGAGGATGTACAAATACGTATTTCAATATAAAATAAAGGTGTTTTCTCAAAACCTGGAGATAGGGAGAGCAGATCGGCATGGCATGCAGCTTCCACTTAGAGGACATGGGATGTAGTCAGAAGCCGTCTGCCACTCCATCCATTATCCAGTTTTTGAAAGAAGGAAAAGAAATGAATTCCAAGAAATGCTTGGCTCCATATTTTTCTTTGCTACAGCACCTTGTTTGTAGAGATGATTGACAGCTGCCTTGGAATACAAGGGTGGCTGTGAATTTCTCCAATCTTTCTTCCTCCACCTCCTAAGTGCTGAGATTATTGGTGTGTGTAACTACACCTGGTTTCAATTTTTTTTTATTTCAACCCTTGAATTTAAGGCAATATTAAACAGAGTAAGGATCAAAAAAGTACAGACTTCCAAATGAGCATGCAATTGCTCTCAGTTTATATGAAATGACATTGGAAATGCCAAATCTCTAAAATCTATTGCATATTTCCATGGCACTTAATCAATAAACTCTATTCTTCTTGGAGTGCCTTGGGGAGATGAGGAAAGTGGGATTAGAAGGGAAGGCAAACTGGCATCATGGTACCCAATTGGGACTTCAGGCATCTTGCTCCTCCTCTCAGTTGGCCACTGCTGTTGTCATTGGGCTCAAGGATTCACTGCTCCATCTGTGGTTTCAAAAGGAAATTCTAAAAGTTGTCCCAAAGATCATGACTCACTTTTCCTATTCACTTACTGGCTGTGAAATAAACAACACTTTCTCTTTTGAACCTCCATTGACTGGACCCTGAGTAATAATGAACATTTCCTTTGACATAGTCCTGACTTCTTTCAATAGGAGACATCCCTATGGTCAACTGCTAGAATCAGTGGTACCTGCTGCTATGAAAGCACTATAATTGACAGTTTTGAAAGACACAGACAAAAGTTTGCAAAGGACTAGTTCTCTACCATAATACAAGGAATAGTGTGGAGAAGTACTTTTTCAGAAGCTATGCTTTCAATACTTGAATATTTTATTTTTATTTTGGTAAAACCTATTTTTCCTTTATGTTTTTTGACATTTTCATACATGAGTATTGCATTGACATCATTTCGACCCACTCTCTCCCCCTCTAATCCTTCTCATGCTACCTCCCTCAAACTCATGATCTGTTCTTAATTATTGTTATACATGTACACAAAATATCCACATAAAAACATAACCTGCTGAATCCATTGTCATTTATATTTGCAAACTATCCATTTGATAGAGTATTGAGATCCAGAACATAGAGAACTATTTAAAAAGTTCAAAGAGTCAAGAAAACAAATGACCCAACTAAAAAATAAGCTACCAATTTGTCCTCATTTGATTTTCCTATTGCTGTGACCAGCACTATGAGCAAAAGCAAACTGGAGAGGAAAGGGTTTATTTCAGTTTACACTTTCTAATCTTTCATGAAGGGAAGTCAGGGCCCTGTAGATAGAGAAATGGTGCTCACTTGTTTGCTCCCTATGGCTGGCGCTCAACCTGATATACATACATACATACATACATACATACATACATACATACATACATACATATCACCCACAGTGAACTGGGCCTTCCCACATCAATCATTAATGAAGAAAATGCCCCCCCCCACAGTCACCTACAGGTCAATCTGACAGAGGCAATTCCTCAATTGATATTCTCCTTTTGCATATAGGTCTAGGTGTTTGTGTGAAGTTGAGGAAAAGCAACCATACGAGGTCCTCCACAGAGAGCTCTCAAAGGAAGAAATGAAAATGGCTAAACTACATCTTTAAAAAGTAGTCAACATCCTTAGCAATTAGTGAGATGAAAATTTAAATTTCTTTGAGATCTCATCTTATTCCTATCAGAATGGTTGAGATGAGATGCTAGTGAGGATGTGGGAGAAGGGGACATTCACTGTTGGATGGAGTGCAAGCTGATGCAGGCACCATGCAATTCAGTGTGGAGAACTCAGAAAAAGCTGAAAGTAAAACCATTACATGGCCCAGCTAACACATATTCACTGTTGGATGGAGTGCAAGCTGATGCAGCCACCATGCAATTCAGAGTGGAGAACTCAGAAAAAGCTGAAAGTAAAACCATTACATGGCCCAGCTAGTCCCAGAATCCTCCATCTACATTGTAATCAAGGAACTGATACAAGGAAATGGACTACTAGCATTAGACATCTAGTTCAGCTATGGTACTCATCTTAGGAAACTAAAATAAGAGCTGAGTATAAAATATTTAGTGACATGTTATTTACATTATATATTATGTTATTTTGAATATAATTAGAAAAGTTCATTATTTCTTAAACACCCTGGTTATTTTTCTCTCTAGCTGATTAAAACACTCTATAATTTGTAATAAAGTGTTATACATCTTAGGAACAGCAGATAAACTTTTATGTATACTAAGACAGTTTCTTACATGGTTAAAGAGATTAATCTCAATATTGAAATATTAAATATATTTAAATAGATTTATCTTAATTGGTACACTGTTCTATATATTAATATATCTATTAGGAAATAGAAAATCAAATACTTTAAATTGTATTTGACAATTTATATTCAATATAATAAATGAAAAATGTTTAGTTAATACTCTCATTTAGTCTAAATAAATTTGATTATTTTATGGGCTAAACTGCACTAGTCACTGTTAGGTACTAGAAGACAACAGCACAAGGAACTTTAGTTAGTTTGGCTTTAGGATTCTACCCATAATTTTTCAGTCAATATCTAATTAAAAGTGCACTGGGAGATTGAGATTCTATAATGAAGAAAGAATACTTAAGACAATAATGATTTTCTGTCAAGATTCAGGGTAAACCATTTAGCAACATTCATAAAACTAACAGCAAGAGCCACAAAAAAGCATTCTTTACACGACACTTTATAAAATAAAGCCACTTCCTTGTCATTTAAGTTGAAGGGTTAGAGACTGACAAAGCAGGGCCACTGTTTGACTATAAATGAAAGTTACTATCATGTGACTGTAAACCATTCAGTATGTGTTTCAATAGAAGGGCCTGGCCCAGATGGTCTAATTCAATGAATATCATTCAAAAGCAGTCTTTCTTGTGAAACTTAAGGGCAAGTGCTCTACGGCACGAGACAGATAATAATTTTTCCACTACAGATGTTTTATTTCCCTCTGAAATAAGCACAAGTTTCATGAAATAAAAGTGAATAACATGTAAGTTTAAATTGGCCACCAGGTATGCTAAATACTTGAATGTGTTGAGAAGCCAGGCAGTTTCAACCTCTGCTCACAAAGCTGATGCTTGCCCATTGTTACCAGCTGGGTCTTAGATGCATTGATCTCTTCCAGTGTCCCCAGGTCTGGTGTTTTCTGCCTCGCTCAGGTCAGCTTGCCCTCCCTACATCAATCACCCATTTTATAAAGCTGTGGTTTTGTGGGAGGTGATAAAAAGTGCCATTTGTGGAATGCTACCTCTTTAATCCTCACTAAAGCCCCACGTGACTGACACTATCAGGCTTGCTTTACACATGGAAGACTTTTGAGGTTTAGACATGGGAAATAACTTTAAAAGTGACACACTGGTAAGTAATAGACACAAGACTCGATCCCAAGGCTCCCCAACTTCAGAATCTTGGTGCTAACACACGGACATCTGTGTAATTACATTTATTCTAATCACTGTTTGGTGAGGTCTTCATTCTATCCCAAATCGTTTTCATTGTGATTTGCCTTGAGGAAACGAATATTTAACCGAACCCTCAAATCAAAGGATCTTCCCCTTACGATGTGGCCATTTAACACACACTTTAAATGCAGAGACGGGTGTCACGCAGGAGTCTAGTAATTTGTTAGGATAGGGGATTCCTGCAGCTCAGGTAAAGTCAATGATCTGGTTCTTTGGGATAGAGGGAGGGCAGGATGGACTCGCTCGCTCTTCCAAACCTTTCCCTTTACTCTTTCCCTTTAGTCTTCCTCACCCTCCTCACAAGCTTACCTTGTCCAGGAAAAGAGTATTCTGAGAAACTTTTGATTTAAGCACGCACCCATTTACCCTCCCTGACTATGGATTCCACTTTCTGCGGGTCTGCTCTCACCCCACCCCCCACAACCCCGAAGGAGGGAGTGGAGTGAATGGGGCTTTCCCCCTCCACCTCCAAGTTCACCTGCTATTGTCACGCTGGGCAGAGGAGACTCTTGTGGTCTAGCAGCGCGGAGCCGGAGGTGGCCAGCGTCCCTGTCTGCAGTGGGGAGGCGTAACTGCCCGAGGGTGTACCGGCGTCCTTGTCACTCACCTGCTCACTCACCTGCTCCTGGCTTCAGTCCGTGGGGCGGAGGGCGCATGGCTGGCCCCACTGTGCTGCTCCCAGCATAGTTGGCGAGCAGCAGTTAATTATTACTAGGTTGCCAATCGCAGGGGGTGTGAGCAACCTGAGCCACGCCCAGCGCCTCAGTGCATGTTGGGAGTGTTTACTCTCTCTTCCCAGACGCCAGCAGGTACACTGTTCTCTGTCACTGTTCTGCAGAAGTGGACTGACTTTGGGCACCTTTGTCAGCAAAGTCTGGTTGCATGATTTTCGCCAGCCACCCGTGCTGTAGATAAACGATAGCAGCCAGGACTCTGCGCTTTGTTTTTGAGACGTTAATTAGTCTTTCAGTTTGAGATTTCTTCATTTTCGTTTCCTTAGTCTTGGCTTCCCCCATTCCTTGGCAGCACCTTTGCCCCCAAGGCAGTTTTTATTTCTCACACCCTTAGGGTGCGCCTAAACCTCCTAGGCAGCTTGCAACACCAGGATATCTGCCTGGTCTGGCCACATGACTTAGAGAATTTTGGGTAGGCATATTTGTATTACTGTTATATTGTTAAGCCCCACAGAAGCATCTGGTAGCTAGCATTTCATCTACTGAATTGGGTGTGGCAAGTTTACTTTTTCTCCAGTACCTCCAGTTTCAAAGGGAACCCAAAAGACTAGCAGATGACAGACGTTGTGGAAACAGTGTTTTTATTTACATGCACGGGTGCACACACTTGAACACCATTGTTTGTACTTTCCTGTTTGCATGTAAGAATATTATTGGTAATTTTGAAGGAAAATCAATTGTTTTTCAGGTGTCAAGTTTTTGAACTTACAAAAAGGGATTTAACAATTTTTTCAAGAGAAGATGAGAGAGTTGACATGTGGTGTCCTCTCCTGGAGTGCTGAATGAACAGAATGACTGACGGTGACGTCAGAGTCACAAGACTTGTTTGATGTGTCTATGTGGTATCTTCCACAGGATTCTTCTCAAGCAGAGAGGGTCAGACAATGGAGGTAGCCTTTGGCAAGCGAAAAAGAGCAGGAACTTTGAGATTTATCAGGCCTTGGTCAAAAGGGGCACTGGACCCAGTTCAAGTGTTGAGTCCTGTGTAAGCCCGGGCCCTACGTTACTTGTGCTAGTTTGCTCACTTTAGCCCACAATCCCCTGGTGTGTGGTTGCTAGTGTGGACTGACCTTTGGATGATAAGGAACAGGACCTGCAGTGTTTACAGTCCCTGCTTCTAGAATGTCTCCCCAGATCCTGGCTCTGTCCAATCACCTGTGCACAAAGGGATCACCTTTGTTTTCAGTGTTTGGGCATCATTGTGTTTCTGCCTTTGTCTGCAGACTTCCAGTTGGACCCCTTTGTCCTTTAAGTACTTTATCCTTGTGTAGATGTATAGTTTTTCTTTGGACTGTGAAATCATATAACATGTACAATGTGAAAATTCTGGAAAACACAGAAATGAGAAGGAGAACTATTTCTAAATTTGTCTCTGAGGTAAAATTATTGTAAGCAATGGGCTGAATGCCTTGACTGACATGTTTACTCTATGAACATATCAAAATGTGGCTGCACAGTCTGTTATTTTATGACCGGCTCTTATCCCACAAAAGATATTGTGAACAACTTACCATATGTCAAGTCAGGTTATTATTTTTTCTTACAATGTGTTTTAAGTAGCCGTACTGTAATGTGCCATATGCATAGACCATTATTTAACCAGTTCCTAAGTGTGAGAAAGTTTTACTACTAAACAATACTGCAAATGTTTATGTATAATTGCATCGAACTGTGATTATAACCTCCACAGTGAAGTTGCAAGATGAAAAGGAATGTATACTTGCCTGCTGAAGCTGGAAGAGGGCATTGGATCCCCACAAACTGGAGTTACAGACAGGACTTAGTCACCATGTGGGTGCTGGGAACATAACCTGGGTCCTCTGCAAGAGCAAGCAAGTGCTCTTAACTGCCGAGCCATCTTTCTAGACTCTAAAAACATAATCCAGAGAATGATTTATCATTTTTATAGCCATAGGGCAATATGCTGCCTTGAGTTATTATACTTCTTTCAATCATTTATCGGTTTGAAAGTTTAACATTCATGATTTATTTATTTATTTATTTATTTATTTGAGAGATGGTCTCACTTGGTATCCTGTGCGGGCCTCCAACTCTCAGCTCTTTGTTTCATTCCCTGAGTGCTGGGAATCCAGGTATATACTACTATCCTCAACTGATATCTTTTATAAATATGTGTGGAATAGGAAAATTGAAATCTTTCTTCAAATTTACCTTCCATTTTCACTTTAAAAAATATACCCTTTGCTCATCTTCCTCTTAGTGACTTAAAATGTGTCTCTGCATATGAAGCATATCAACTCTTCATTGTATATGCTGTAGCTTTATTTCCTCGGCTATTTGTTTACATCTTAGTCTTGTTTATGGTACTTTTTACATATCAAAGATTCAAAATTTAAATAGTTGAATCTATTAATTTTTTTTGTTATTTTGTAACTAAGTTTAATAAAAACTTTCATGTCCATACATGTATCTATTTGTTTCCAGGTTTTCCCCAGATACTATTTATTCATTAAATTCTGTGCATCTGGATTTCTTACATTAAAAGCCATGAATTTTGATTCTTAACCTCATTTTTCTAAGCGTCTCACCTACTAAATAATCCATATTTATCAAATAATACAAAGTATTGATTCCATATTGAAGGCGAGGATCCTGCCTATATTTCTATTTCATTCCCTAGGCCTACTATGGGGCTAGGTAAGCCCAATATTGGTCAGCCTTGGGGTCCTTTCTCTTCTTCCTCCCATGCCCAGCACCCATGTCACAGCTCCACCCCTCTCCCCCTACATCAGGCCAGCATGGCCCTGGGTTGGATACTACAATGATCTCCTGATTGGTTTCTTTGCATTTGCTCTGTCCTGATGTAGCTTACTCTCCACCTCAGCCAGTAGGTCCTTTTATGAAGTGTTCGGATCACATCATGAGGACTTCCTTTGCTAGGAGTCGTTATAGTGGTTGCCCCATACATGTGGGATGAAATCTAAATCTGAGCTCCTTACCAAGATGCTAGCCTGGCTTACAGAGTAAGTTCCAGGAAAGTCAGGACTGTTATACAGGAAAACCAACCAACCAACCAAACAAACAAACAAACAAAGACATTGCTTTTCCTTTTCTGGCTGCAACAATTCTTTGCTGCCTGAATACTTGTTATCCAGACTTAGTTTTGCTCCTGGAACTCAGACCAAGCTTGTTCCTGCTTCACAACTTTTGTACTTGGTAGTGTGTCTGCCAAGAAATCTCTACTCTGGTTACAGCATCTTCTCCTTGTTCTGATTTTCCTTAAATACTGTCTTCTCAGTGATGCTGTATTTTGAGGAATGCCTCCATTCTTTCTCTATTACAGTACCGGGTTTTGTTGTGCTCATGGCAGTTATCATTGCCTAAATGCATTTCTCATTTCAGGCTATTTATCTTACATCTTCAAGATGTAAGATCCAAGAGAGTGGGGATATAGATTTGATACTGTGGTGGTATGCATGAAATGTCCCCAATAGTCAGTCTCTTGGTCTCCAGTGGGTGGTGCCATTTAAGGAAGTTTAGGTGGTATAGCCTTGATAGAGAAGTGTGTGAGCCTTGTTATTAAAATCCTCCCCCCACTTATCGATTGCTCTCTCTGCTTTGTGTGGTCAGAAGAGGATGTGAGCTCACAGCATCCTGCTTCTGCTGCCATGCCTGCTCTTGTTGCCATGACTCCCAACCATCATAGACGTTCATCCCTCTGGAACCATAAGCTCAAAGTAACCCTTCCTTCTCTAAGTTGCCTTTGCCATGGTGTTGTATCACAGAAGCAGAAAAGTGACGAATACAGGTGGCCCCCTCTTTGGTGTCCATACTAATGCCAGGTCCGTGTCAGAGGCTCAAGAAACCTTGCATTGACTCATCATAATGACGATGGTAAATATGTATCGAGCAAACAAATGTACATCATAATGTTTCCTCATTTGAGGTGGCACTTTATTTAATAAATAAATATACATTGGTACTAGAATTTATACTCTCCTTTATGGCTCATATATCTTCAGTGTCACCAGTGACATACCATCATCTCTATGGAAAAACTCAACCTGACCATCACTTCTAAAAATTTCTTAACTATTTTTGCCTTGAATACCACAAGTGTTAGAGGTCCCTATAGACTATTAAGAGTTAAGTGGATACTTACTTTATTCACCATAATACACTGTCAAATTCTTCTAGGTCTAGTGTGTATCTATTAGCAACTGATAATCTCATGTTGAAGAAAGTCTCCTAAAGTAGAGTTTTTCCATGGTTGTTGAGGCTTTATTGTGTTTTTATTACTAGGTTATTGACATGTGTGTTGGGATGATTATAGTAAAGGTTTTGATTTGTTTATCAACATTCCTACTTCCACCATGTTTCCTTTGGATGAATTTATTTGCACCAATTCTAGGCTTGGCCATGATACTTGCTTTGGTCTATGGATCAGTCCCAAACAAGACTTGAATGACTTCATTTTTTTCCCCCACTGTTACTTCCTGCTTGCTGCTCTTCAAATTCCCAGTGATGATATTAACGAGACTGGGTTGACATATGAAATGATAGGGACCTTTGGTCCAGTTGTGGGATTACCCAGGTCACAGCTTGTAACCAGAGCTCTAAGTCACCCCACAGCCGATTAAAAACTCACAAATGACTGAAGATACAAGGGAAACTGCCCAGTTGAAAACAGTACGAATTCTCAATCAATTAGAACTTTGAGCCACACTAATACTGTTATTTTAATCCACAAAATTTGGGGTATGCTTTTCAGGTATACATTTACATGCCCATCAATATAGTCTTAACTAGAAAGTAAGAAAAATACTCGAGTTGCAATACATTGTGAGCACATATAGAAAGGAAACAGAAAAGAAAGAGAAAAAGAGACTTGGGTTACAATTAGGCTGAGTAATTTCCACAAGCCATGAAATCACCTCTGAAAAATAGTTAGAGGTCTCTATATCTTGAAGAAAACATCTAGAAAACCAACAGTTGTCAATTTTAAGTATGGAGAACAGGGGCTGAGCTCATAGCCTTCCACTTTTGCTTCCCACCGGAGGCTTCACTCAGCTGGGGCCAAGGGAAGCTCAAACAGAAGTAGGGTTGCCCTTGATAAGGAGGGGACTCCCATAAAAACCCAACTGGAAACAACCTTGTTTAGGAGGAAGCTGCCTTAACAATGAGCCTACAGACATTATTTTTCCAATGTGTAAAGTTTGAAAGAAATATATTTTATGATTGGGATTTTTTTTTGCCGTTCTATTATAATAAAACAGATTAATTCCTGTGGG